TTATTTATATTGATTAAAGTAAAATTATTTATATAATAGATATTTTTTTTAAAAAAAAATCAAAAAAAATGGGATTACAATTTTGGCATAATTGTGCAACTAGTTTTCATTATATTTCTTGTAAAAACAAATTTAAATGTAATAAAATATTATTACTAAAAGATAAAGAAGAATGAGAACTTGAATATCAAACAACTGGAGTTCCAAAATGTTCTTTTGTTTACAACAACATTGGCATTGTAAAGAAAAAAATGTACAAATTGTTGTGAATTAAATAAATGTAATCAAATAAAATGTAATTATTGTATAACAAATGAAAAAGACTGTATATATTCTTTATCTACAGAACAAACAGCATTTAATGAAATTAATGAGAACGTATCATATATTTGTAGTCAATTTGAAGTTACTAGTTCTAGTAAACTTCATGCTCAAATGTATATACAATTTAATAAATATCAAACTATAAAATCTATAAAAACTATTTTTAATAATAATTCTGTTTCACTTGTAAAATTTCTTGCAGGTAATTCAAAGCAAAATAAAAATTATGCTATAAAAACTTATAATTGTTGTAAAGTGCATTCTAAATGCCAATATGATTATTTTGATTTATCATTAATATGTTAATATTGTGATATAAATTGTATTCGTTCATATGCAAGGTGGGGTGATGATATTTATCATCTGATATAATTGGTTTATTTAAATTTAGAACTTATCGATTTTTAGAAGGTTCTGATAATAATAATATATCTGAAGACATAAATGAATTACGATTGGATAATATGAAATGTATAATCAAAATTTGTGACCAAGAACTTACCTATGAACAAGTAGTACTTGATAAAAATAAAATACCAGCTAATTGGTTTACAACACCAACAAATGCAGAGAAAGTTATTAATGATAAATAAAAATTTTTAAAAAAATACAAAAGAAAAAGATTTTGGCGTCCACTTATATTTTATTGTTATGGACCTGGTAGGGCAAGAAAATCCGAATAGTTTTTAGAATTATTTCATGATGAACTTTATGATAAACCAAAGAAGCAATGAACAAATAGTTCATATTGGAATGGATATATTGAACAGGAAATAGTTTTAATCAATAAATTTTATACAAAGATTGATTGGAATGAAATAATAAATTTATTAATGATTCTTGTTTTAAAGTTGAATATAAATATGGAGGGTTTGAACCTTTTTTAGCTAAATATATTTGTTTAATAGCAACTAAACCACCTGAAGAAGCTTATAATTTCAGACAGTATGGTGGAGAAGATGATAATAAAAAAGATTATAACCAATTCGAACGTAGACTTGATTATATAATCAGATTTGATGGAAAATGGAATGATGATCAGAAAAAAGAACTACACAAATTATATTTGAAAAAGGAGATGAGGATAAATTTAGAAATATGTTATAGGATATTAAATATCGTAATGGAGAAAATTTCATTGAAGAAATTATAGAAAAATCTAAAAAAATTAATATAGGAATTGAGAGAGAAGAAATTATTATTGGTGATAATGTTTATTGGCGTAAAAAATTTTCTGATCACAAGATTAAATATTTAAAAGATTATTCTAATGTGAACTAATTATTTACGCACAGAAAAGATAAAAAAAGAACAGCTGATATTTTAGAAGAATCTTCTAAAAAAAATAGAATTAGTTAATTTTTTATTTAAACGTTAGATTTTTTTTTATTTTATTTAAATGTTAAACGATTTAATTTTTATACAACAAACTGGTAAAGAATATATCTATATTCAAAAACTTTCAAAGAAAAAATGTCTAATATTACTCTACACGAAGAATTATATGATGCTCAATTTGATTTGAGAGAAGAAAGAAGAATTCGTCAAAATCAACAAGAAGAAATTCAACAATTAAATAAACAAATTAAAGAAATTGAAGAAGTTTTTATTGAATCCATTAAACGTCTTGAAAAATTATCGAAGAAAAGGATATTATTATACAAGATACTGTTAACCAATATGAAAAAATTAGTCAAAATACTATTAGTCAGTATAAAGATAGATTGAATTTTTTTGCTAATTTTTTCGAACAAAGTTTTAATTATACAAATGATTATTATTATATGAATTTTCTTCCATATAATGAAGTAGTTAATGATAAATTTATTTTTCAAACTGATGTTCTTAATGTTATTAATGATATTAATAATTCTGTTAATAATAATAGTAATAGATTTAGTGAATGCGATTCTAATGATAGTGGTTATAATAGTTATGATGAATATGAAGAATTAATGCAAGATATTCATGAAGTTACTAGTGAAGATAGTTTTTAATTTAAAGATTTATTGTATTATTTATATTATTTTTTTATTATAAATAAATTATTATATTGTTAAAAACAAAGATTAAAAAACATTTATATTTTTCAATAATTTCATGCATTAATTTAAATTCTATTGCTTGTTGTTTTAAAAAATTTTGATATCAAGATTTAATAAACTTGGATTTTTGCAAAACAAACTTTACGTTGATAGGTTAAGATTTAATAAACTTAGATTTTTGCAAAACAAACTCTTAATGATAATAGGTCAAGATTCAATAAACTCAGATTTTTGCAAAACAAACTCAACGATAATAAGTCAAGATTCAATAAACTCAGATTTTTGCAAAACAAACTCAACATTGATAGGTCAAGATTCAATAAACTCAGATTTTTGCAAAACAAACTTAATAATAATAGGTCAAAATTTAATAAACTTAGATTTTTGCAAAACAAACTCAACGTTGATAGGTCAATATTCAATAAACTTGGATTTTTGCAAAACAAACTCTTAACGATAATAGGTCAAGATTCAATAAACTCGGATTTTTGCAAAACAAACTCAACGATAATAAGTCAAGATTCAATAACTTAGATTTTTGCAAAACAAACTCTTAATAATAATAGGTCAATATTCAATAAACTCAGATTTTTGCAAAACAAACTCAACAATAATAAATCAAGATTTAATAAATACAGATTTTTGCAAAACAAACTTAATATTAATAGGTCAAGATTCAATAAACTAAAACAAACTTAATGATGATAGGTTAAGATTCAATAAATTTAGATAAAACAAACTCAATGATGATAGATCAAGATTCAATAAACTCGGATTTTTGCAAAACAA